TATTTTTTATTTTATATTATATTATGTTATATTATAAGATATAACTACTCTATAATATATTTTAATTATATTATAATATTAAAGGGTAATTATAGAAAAAAATAAAATTCTATAAAATAAAATAAAATAACTTAAAATGATCATTCCTCTATATGAAAAATGAATAATGATTCACTTAAAATGGATGAATTGCTATTCCTTTTGAATGATCGTTCTTTTTTTATAAATTCAACCAAACATCAAACTAGAATTTCATTCCATTCTATTCCGTTCCTTTCCACTCGACCAAACACACACCTTAAGTTGCACGAATATATTATATATTGATAAAAGAAGGTGCATTTAGTTTTAAGTTTACATCGTTCTAATAAAACTGTATCCACAAATGTGGATAATAATTAGAGTTGAAGAGGAAAGCATGAAACTTCTTTGGAATCGCTCAAGAATCTGAATCGGAATCAGAACCGGAATCTGACTCGGCACATAATTCATATGGTCTGATTCTGTTTGTATTGGCTTCGAGCGGAGGAAGTCCATCGTTGTCACTTGATTCACCTTCTTGTTGGGATGTCTCTCTCTCCATGCTTCCATTAGAATCGTCCAGAACTGTCGATTTGAAGACTTCTGGCCTGCATGGAGAGGTAGAAGCACGACATAAGGAACAATACATTAAGACAAACGCGCATCAAGACAATAAAAAGAAGATGAACAGGAGAACGATGTATAATCAGTAGCAAAATTAGAGAGAATATTTTGCAGTAGTAAAAGGGAAAAAAATAAAAAATATAAAAAAAAGAAAGAAAGACTAATTTCGAACAGAGTTGTGTGAAAAAGTGAAATTCATATAGCTGACCCCAATTAAGTTGGATTAAGGTTTGTTGTTGTTGTAAAAAAAAAAAGAAAGAAAGAAAGAAAAAACACCTATTTTAGAACATGAAGAGAGCGTTAACTAGGAAAAGAAAAAGGCCATTTTACAACCCAGAAGCCAAATATAGCAGAAGCCGCTAAGGTAGAGAAGGTCCACTACCATTATCTCAAGAAAAAAGATGATATGAACCCATTTGAAAGCCTACAATCCAAATGCTGAAGAAAGTACCACAATCTTCAAGTTGATATCAGCCTTATTCCAAGTACTGAAGATGATATCAGCCTTATGGATGCCATCCCATATAGTACACCAAGTTGCATTCGAGACCTAACAATGTCAAGTTCTAATATAGCTAGCGGGGCTTCAAAATAACTAGAACCTATATGCTGTAGTTCTTTTAAAGAAGAAGATGCTGAGGTGAGGTAGGCTTGGCTTGGTGTCTCTGATCTGATACATTATGACCATTTGCACCACACAGACACACAGAGAAAACATACCATTCTGGTGATTTCTGAAGCGCGCGGAGTTGTTCGTAGAATAAAACTTTCGAAACAATACATGTCACCTTGCTTCCAGATTCAATAGCCTTCTCCTTCCCACTATCGTCAACAACAACAAAACTACCTGCAGTTTTAAAATTTCATTTAATTTTGTTCTTGATCACTTTAGAGGATTCAATTGAAAAACGAATCAAGTTCGGAAAACCAAAATTAATCTGAAGATTAGACCCTTCCCTGCCTGAATCGGAATTCATTCGCTTACAAAGGTATTTAAATAGCAAAGTTATACTGCCCCGAAAACTATAATCACACTATGAAACAGAAGAACGCACCTCGCTTTATCCACATGCTCTTTTGAAACTTAGCTGGAAACAATGCCAATGATTTCTTGCCTTGCGCATCCATTACCTTCAACTCCCACAGACACAACAAGGCCAAGTTTTTAGGGGGAAAAGGCCCCTTCAAGTTTTAGTAAAACGTAGACTATTAGAAGCTTAAAAAGGAGAATATTAGGAGCTAGGAAAGTACCTCAATGAGATTGGAACCTCTAAGGGACAAAACTTGCATGATGTTGTGACCTTCTTCAAGAGTTAAACTCTCTTCCTCAGTTGCCCTTTTCAAATTCTTCCTTCCTCCTTTCATGGCACTATCCTCCTTTGCTTAAATAAACCCAAGAATCAAGAATTCTGGAATTTGTTTTCAGAAAATTCGGAACTTAATTTAACACACCTCCAGTTATGGCTAATAGCAAACTTAATGGCGGCCAAGAGTGCAGTCCCTTCTGTACTTGGAGATCAATTCCAGCAACCTGAGAAAACAAAGACGAAATTCTCCCTTCTGAAGCACGAGTTACATTCATAATAATTGCCAAAATGATTTTTTCCCTTTTCTAAATGCTATTATGCTACCATGGAATTAGTGATTCACCCATACAAATCAGTGTACACAATCCTTGAGGTGGTTTGCATTAACAGTGCAAGTAATTTCACCAAAACATATCTGATCAAATAATTTTCAAGCATCAAAGCCTAAAAGAAAGAAAAGCAGACTAGGAACAATTACAATCCAAAGCAATTGTAGTCGAAGAAATACAATTATTAATTCTTCAAAAAAAAAAAAACAAAAACAAAACAAAAACAAAAAAGAAAAAGAATCCACACAAAACTCAATCTCCTTAGCCTCCAGAGATGATTTTGGGGACCCATTGTAGTCCAATTTCACACCCATGAAAGCACAAACGGCTTTGAACTTGAGCCTTAAACCATCCATGATTTCTTGGACATTCTCATTTTCAGGCTCCATAACTGGGTACTTCTCAATCAGCTCCTCCATCTGTTTGATCCACTTCTGGATACGATAAGAGAACCGGGTCGAGTTGATTCTGACAACCGAGTTCCATACCTCAACACAACCCTTGTAGAAGCCCAACTCCTCGCCGACCTCGAAGCCCAATTTCAGGCCCACTCTCTTGATTTCTTCTCTACCCAAGATTAGACCATCTTTGTAGCCCTAATCAAAGCTTTCCTTCAAGTGGGTTTCCTCTAAATTCAACGATGAAAGAAAGATGTCCTCCATGAAAGGTATTATGAAGAAATACAAGAAATTCAGATTATTTATCTATGTTTATTGTTTTTTTCTTGTTCACAATAACTGATCGATTCAGAAAGTAGCAGCTTTTATAGTTGTGAGTTGCTATTGTGAATTTTGGATATCAAATGTGGGTTTTTGTTCACTTGAACACCTTCAAGCCTTGAATCGAGCAAGCACGCCTCAAATTCAAATGAAAACCAATATCATTTTGAGAAAAAAGATTGCATAAGTGACGAATATAAGTTTTCCCAACGAGTTTGAGGTGGAAACAAACTGATTGGAATTGCATATAAATATATCTAAAAAGGGAAAACTAAAAAAAAATAAAAATAAAAAATAAAAAAAGAGATTCTTCTACCAACGAAGTATAATGTTCTTAACCCTCTAATTGTGCAATAGAATACAACCAATATTTCTCTTCGCTTCTCACACAAAACTTAAAAGAATTCAAATAAATGATAAAATCATTTGAGCCAATAAGTCAAATTTATTTTACAACGAGATTTCTAAAAGAAGTACTTTTGAGATTACATATGCATTCCTTTCTCTTAATATACCCACCAACACAAATTACAAAATTTGCACCATTCAATGCTTTAAATAAAAAAGACACAGATTAAAAGAGTATAATTCGCCACCTTTGCAACTACCAGTCCACAATAAAGCAAAGATAATATCAATAAAAAAACCAAAAGAAAAAAAAATGAGATTATCAAACAAATTACAATACAACTACGACGATAAGAACACAATAACTAACACCAGAATTGAAAAATTGGCAGTAAAAACTGTACCAAATTAAGCAAAAAGTAGCTCAATCCGTTGTCCTAAACACAACCACTCAAAATCCATCAGAGTGAAAATAAATAAATAAATAAATAAAAATAAATAAATAAATAAAAAACTCATTCTCACATCAAAACTGAAGTTTATTCATCAATAAATCCATGGGAATCGAGCAAAATATATTACCTGTTATTGAGCAATTCTTGACCAGCAATAAGAGTGTTATCCTCCAGAACACCACCGACGGGTGACCGGCTGAAGAACAAGAAGATGGGAGAGCTGCAACCACCGGCGATGAGGCTACGGCGGACGGAGAAAGACCGGCGACGGACTGACTGAAGAAGGTGAGGAGAGAGAGATTTAGGGTTTTCGATTGCCTGAAGGAGAGGGTAAAATAATGGGCATAATTCAAGGAACGACAAATCAAATAGCAATTTCTCGACGAGTCGTTGTCGTTTTTGCCCTTTTGTTTTGAAAATGACACGTCATTTTTCATTTTCGTTTTAGAGCCCGTTTGGCATCCCGCTTTTAGCTTTTTTTAGAAGTTAGGCCCAGTTTGGGACGCCAAATTGGATAGGACAATAGACTCCGGACTGGATTGTGTATGACCCGATAGGATTATCTTGAATCATATCTTGTGTTTGGTAAACTGTCCGATAAAAAATTGGAAAAGTAATCCAGTGTTTGGTGCGTCATCGGACCGGATCAAATTAAATATGATAATCATTTTTCAATTATACCCATTGCTCCATCTGTCCATATCTACCCAAACAACAATAAACATACAAATACTCATAATAGAGCGGTAAGTTTGGGCCGAGCTAAACGGAGTGACCCGATGCCTGCTACTGTTAGTTCGGACCCGGCTCAACCTTAAATTTTTAGAGCTTAAGACCGGGTTGGGACAACTCTCTCTTCTTTAAGACTGGCCCAACCCATTCTAAACATTATATTTTTATAGATTTTTTTTCGAAAATAACTTATATAAATTCTAGGCCGAGCCGAGCCGACCCTAAACTTTTTAAGCTTAAGACCGGACTGGACCGACCCTCTCTCTTTTAGAGCCGGACGATTTTTTATGGACCTCGGGCCTAGGCGGGGCCAAGTAGCTCAAACTTACACCTCTAATTCAGAAAAAGAAAAAACTCTAAATTAGAGTGCATACTAAGCATGTTTCTTTAATCAAATAGTTCCATATTATTTTTAAAAAAGAAAAAATGGACAGTACACGACTTGTTATCTATGTTCTCCTAAGATTGGATCTTTCAAGTTGATACATATGGTCATTACATGTCAAAACTATAATCTCACAAGATTCAAACCAAATTTGTTCTATGAACAAACCAAGCAAAGGAGAAATTACAGTAATAGGAATCGAGATATGAGGAAGAAAGAACTAGAAAAGAAGAGGCAAAAAAAAAAAAAAAAAATACAAACCTAGTTGTCATAGGAATCCATATATACGGAAGAAGATGTTAGTTTTGAAAATAATTTTCTATACAAAATCGTGTATATAGCGGATCGTGTATAATAAAAATTTTAATAAATTTTTGAGATACTCTATAGAATACATTAATTTATGCACAAATAAATTAATCTAATTTATAAATAAATTTACTTAGTGAACTATTAAGTCGATAACTTGAGTAGTTTGACCCCGAACGTTCCTCGCTCTAAGCTTGTTTAGAATACCAGAATATTTCTCGTCAATTCCATGAATCAACGAAGACGTGTGTGTGGGCACACCTGAAACAAAACGGGAATAGCACTCAAACACTCACGTATTCCACAAACACCAACACATGCACAATGTGGAATTGGGGAGAAAATTTTTCTTTCCTCATTCTATAGAAAAACCAGCCACTATAAGCTAGGGAGACCAAAAATTGTACTTTCTAATTTTCTGTAATCTCCTATTTATAGAGTAGCTGTCAGACTCCTAAAAAAAGTCTAAACTTTATCTCCAAGATAAAACTTGATAATTATCTCTCACTTCTAATTAATTTAAGAAACAAAATTCTCTCTTTCTCTTATCCACAGGGGCCAGCCACCACAGGGATATATCCCCCAGGTTGGTGCATAATACTGATAGGGGAAGGAGAAAAAATTATCCTTTATCATGTAGTCCTAATTTAACTCAAATTCAAATTCTAATTAAAGTCAAACCTAATTTAATTTGAATTTCAATCGGATAACTTATCAAATAAGTCAATTGGATAAATTAGAGGGCTAACAATTTAATTCTAGAGGGATTCTATCAGTGATGGGCGTGTATACCATGTGGACCGCTCCTCATGTGTGTTCTAAAATTCAAATTAAATACTCACATTATTTAATTTATAATTAATTCATAATTAATTCATAATTAATTATTCTTGAGTGTTCTATTTAAAATTCATAATTTTAAAATTCTCATTTTGCCCTTAGTGTCTTGTAAGATTACAAGAATGACGCGAGGACTCATGGACATATAATTCTGAGCTCTAATAAAATTAATAATTTATTAAAACTCTTTAATTAATTATCTAAATTTATTAATTCTAAAGTTACTCCACTATAAACTTGGAATTGCACTCTTATAATTATAGATATAATTTACTTCTAAATTGTGAAGTCTCCATTTGATATAGCCATTACATATAGATCAATCCTCCATAAATAATTCATTATTAGAGCTAGGTGAAATCCTTTAACCTCTCTAATTACATTTTTATCCTTGAGTACCATTGATTTTCTAATGGATAGTGATACATACAACAAATTCATGAATAGGAACTCCTACTAATTCAAGTACTGAATCAATCCTCAAAAGAATTATTTATCTGCTTCTTTATTTAAAAGGAATGGATTCCATCTTGTATATTAACATTTTCGGCTTCTAACTTCATAATGTCTCCAAAATAAAAGGAATATGATTCAACATCTCATAATCCGTACCGAGTAAATCAAAAGACATAAATCAATAAATAAGAGTCTGCTAATAACTCACGATTAAGATATTCTATATATGACTATCAGTAGACTCAATTAGAATTTCTATACTGAATGGAAATATAAAAATTAACAATCTCATTATGCATAATACACTAATTTAATATCTCTCCATATTAACAGTGTTACTGCTCTATTATAAATGGGAATGGCGTGTATGAATAATGTTTTAATCAAAGATTTCAAACTTTAAATAAATTCATTGTGAACATTGTTTTGATTATTATCCTCTCGCATATAATACGTATTTATAATATTTATGGTCACATAAAATAATCACGAAATTTTCAATGATATTCATAAAATGTTCAATAATATATGCACATAAAGTAATGAATAAACTATTTTATTAAATAAATAATAAATATTCTATTACATCTCATACTTTTAGGATACCATTCCCAATAGAATACCCCCGTAAATATGGAGAAAAGACGGACGATGTGTATCCACGTGAATCGGAAGGGAAAGACAAGGGAGCTGATACCCACGCAAATTAGAGGGAGAATATGAAGGAAAAGAGGCCCAATAAGGATCAGAGAGAGAACATGGTGGATGCAAAAACCTCGTGAACTAGAGAAGGAAGACAAAATAAATCACAACCTAGGACAATATTGGGAATGGTGTCCAAAAGCATGAGATGTGATTTTAAATTTTATTATTTAATTAATAAAATAGAAAATTCATTATTTATGTATTTGTATTATTGAATAATTTATGAATATCATTGAAAATTCAGTGATTATTTATGTAACCTTAAATATGCTATATAAGTGTTATATACCAGAGGATAATATTTATCGATAATAATTGAAATAAGTCCGTAATGAATTTAATTAAAGTTTAGAATCTTTAATTAAAACATGATTAATACATGTCATTCCCATTAAGAATGGAACGAGCTTATCCGCATCGTTGATATGGAGAGATATCGAATGAGTGTATTTTACATAATGAGATTATGTAGGACCGGGACATAGACAAAATATGATTTTTTAATAATTTTTGTTGAGTATAGAAATTCTAATTGAGTCTACAGATGGTCATATATAGAATAATCTTAATCCTGAGTTATTAGCAGACTCATATTTATGGATTAGTGCCTTTTAACTTACTCGGTAAAGATCTAGATACACCTAGATCTTATCCTTGTATCTTAGAGACATGGAGAAATATGTAGCCGGGAATACTAATATTACGATATGAAATCCATTCCTTCTTGAGAAAGAAGCAGATAAATAATTTCCTTGAAGGTTGGTTTGGTACGTGGATTAGTAGGAGCTCCAATTCATGAATGCATTTTATGAATCACAATTCATTAGAGAATCAATGGTACTCAAGGATAAAGATGTAATTAGAGAGGTTAACGGATTTCACCTAGCTCTAATTATGAATTATTTATGGATGATCTATCTATATGAAGTGACTATATCAAATGGACATTTCACAGATGTAATTAATTGTCTATAATATGAAGAGTGCAATTCCAAGTTTATAATGGAATAATTTTTAAAAATAATATAATTAATTATTAATTTAAAAGAGCTTGATATTATGGGTCTATGAGTCTCCGCGTTGTCTTGTTAATTCTACGAGACACTAAGGGTAAAATAACAAATTTAGAATTGTGAAATTCTAAATTATATCGCTCAGAAATAATTAATTAAGAATTAATTATATATTAAATAATGTGATTATGTAATTTAATTTTGGAAAGCAAAATGTGGTGGGACCACATAGGCCACACACCCAGTCACTGGGTGCAGGGGGCGTGTGGCATAGGGAGAATCCCGCTGGGCTTCAGTTGCTTCCTCTCCAAGTTATCCCGTTTATTTGTTATTTGTTTGACAAGTTTTCCAATTATTTGCAAAAGGAAATTAAGGTTTGACTTTATTTAGATTTGAATTTGAGCTAATATTGGAAACTGGATAAAGGAGGAATCTTTTCTCCTTCTTATGCCTGTATTTTGTGCCAACCATAATAGATAAGGATGGGGAGAGTTTTTTTTTTCTAAAATTAAATGGGGAACTATATTTTAAATGGGATTTAAAATAAAGTAATAAATAATTGTCTATTGTTTTACCTTTAAGTTAAAGCAAATGGGATATAAATTGGAGATGATAGAAAATTGGAAAACACAATTTTCTCCTTCTCCTATGTGATAGGCATGTAAGATTCTGTTAAACAGCGAGTAACATTCTGTCAGATAGCGTGTAACATTCTGTCAGACAGCGTGTAACTAGTGGTGGAACTTTGGGCCGGCGGGTAGGCTCGCTGCCTAAATTTTTCGGGCTCGGCGAGTAGGCCCATCTGCCGGCCCAACCAAAGTGAATATTTGGGCTCGGGTAGCCCGAATTTGGGCACTTCACCGGAGCCCGCCGCCGTGTAGAAGCTGTCAACCGCCCTCCGCCGGAGTTTTTTTTTGAATTTTTCCGGCCAAGCCCGATTTGCCCGAATGCCT